GGTGGTGATTCTTAAAGATGGATCTCTGTGGAAGTCCTTAAAGTTGAATGAGGACAGAAGAGGGGGCCGGCCTGATGGGACTTCTGTCTTTACAGAAGACAGCTCATGCTTTCTCCAAGGAAAGGCTGCATGAGGATGTGGGGAGAGGGCGGCTGCCTGTGAACCAGAGAGAGCACTCACTAGACGCTAAGTTGTCTAAGGCCTCGACCATCCACTTCTGTTAGAAAGCACGCCTGCCCAGTGGTCAAGCCAGCTGGTCTGTGGTACTTTGTTCTGGGGACCTTGGCTACCTAGTCTGAGTGGGTTGGTTTGAGGTGTCAGAGGGGAAGCCAGTAACAGGAGTAACAACAGATCTACAGGGTTTAGTTTCAAGTTAAAGCTTGGGAGTCGGTGTGACCAATTGCTAGGACAGACCCTAAGAGGCAGCAACAGGGAACCATGCAGCCAGTAGGAAGGGACAGCAGGATGTGGTGGACCAGGATCTGGGGATGTAATCACACCAGGGGACTCAATCCACCGTCTTTTGATATCAGCAGAGGTGTAAGACAGATAGATGGGTCTCATTCCTCAGATACATTGTCTGGGCAGAGACCAAGGGTAGAGAGAAGTGGGTCCTGCTGACTGGACTAAGTTCAAAAGCTCCATAATGCCCCGTGGCATTCTGTGACTGGGTTTCTGTCCTGCTATGCCCCTCCTTTCAATGCTCCTGCATTGAAAGTTTGGTCTCCAGCCTCTGTTTGGGAAGGCACTGGAAACCTTGGGCGGTGTTTCTTAGCAGAAGTAGAGTCAGAGGTGAGCCCTCAAGGACATCGTGTTCCTGTCTCCAGTCTCCATGCTTTCTGCCCACTGTGAAATGAACTGTATTGGCCACTCCCACAGTGTTCTGCCTTCCTCAGGACTGGCATCAAGGGAGACTAGGGCATTGATTCCTCTAAAACTATCTTCCTTCTGGAGATTCTTTATGTCAGGTGCTCTGTCATAACAATGAAAACTCCAACATCCAATATTGACCTTTGGCTGCCATGAGCCATGCCATTTTCCATCCAGAGTGGAGAGCAAGGGGGTGTGTGATGAGGCGGGTCCTAAAACCAGGATCTGGGAGCAAACATGGGCCATAGGAGGTAGATCCTGGTCTGGCCCAGAGGACAGGGACCTGAGGGACAGGGGTGGAGACAACACTGGGGACTCTAAGAGGAAGGTACTGTTTTCATGGCAGACATCATGCAGGATTGCTCTGTGATATCATTTCACTGTCAGAGCGGCTCTGAGGCCACCATTGTTATCTGTTATGTGAGTGGGAAGACGGAGGCTCATAGAGACCACACGGTGTTCCAGGGATTGCGGTTCAGGGACCGTGCTGACATTCACCAGGTCTGATCCAATTCCAGAGTCTATTTGATTGTGATAGACCCTGCTGTACACAACCTGACACAGCTGGGAAGGTTGGAGAGGCCCCTAAAGACACAGACTGTCCTTCCTAATCAGCCATGGTTCCAGGAAGTCTGATGGAACTAGCCTGTGATAGGCATCCCCCAAGCTATGTTTAGACCACGGCCAGGAGGCTCATGGCTATGACTGAAGCGCCCAGCACTGAACTGGCCACACAGCAGGTGTTTAATCAATCTTGAGTGACTGGAACAGAAGCAGGAGTTAATGAACACACCTCTGACCTCCAGTGACCTGGACTGCAGGGGTCTGCTATATGGTCCACCTGATTGGGGCGAAGTTTTGGCTTCTATAAAAAATTTATAAGGGATTAAAATTCAGTAGCTTTGGGAAAGCTTCAGTACAGGAGAAAACCATGTGCTTTGAAACTAGAGAGATATAGCCTCAAATCCCAGCAATGCCACTTCCTGAACTTCTGTGTGACCCCAGCCAGGTTACTTAACCCCTCTGTGCCTTGAAGGGGTTGCATGAGATGAGGTAATATTTTTTTCTGGTATCTAGTTATGAATCTCCTCTTGAATGTGGGCTTAGAAGGAATGAAGGAGGAGTGGGGTCAGGGAGAAACGAAACAGCAACAAAGACAAGAAAGAGGAATGGGTCAGTGCTATCCCCTGCTCCACCCTGATGGTCCCTGGGGCTGCATCCAGTCTGTCTGTGATGCTAGATGCTCTGAGATGATGAACATAAGGCTGCTGGCACACAGTAGGCTCTCAGCAAGTGTCACACCCCTTTCTTTTTCTGTGAAGTCACCTCACACTGATCTGATTCCTTTTTCCTGTGTGACGAACCTTCAAATATTTGGACAGAGCTCCCTAGTCTCCAGAGGCCACCTCCCCTGCCACATATAAATGTTAGAGAGTCACAATCATTTCTCATGGGGATTGGCTTAAATCCCTCCAAACCTGGGGTCCTCTACAGCTAAGCTCTGTTCTCCAATGGATGCTCAGGGCTGAAGAAAGCATAAGAAGTGCCTGGATTCCAGTCCAGCAGCTGAGATTGATAGATTATTTATTTGTTTATTTATTTATCTATTTATTATTTTATTGTCTGTTACTACTTAAGCCAATAGCTCTCCCTGTTCCAGACTGTTCTGTCTGTTGACTGGTATTATCTCATTTAGACCCCAGGTATTTGTGTCTTATCCAAACCTCAGGCCAAGCATGAACTGATTAAGGACATGTAGATATCGGGGGTCATTTCCTCCCCATGGATGGAGACATTTACTGATGAACATTCACAGGATTTTAGAACCAGGGGATGCTGTGGAATGCGCATCCAAATCTATTCCCACTTTCATGGCAGTGAGTGACGGAGTTGGGCCTGGATCAGGATCCTGCTTGAGCAGCTTCCTGTCTGGGGTTCTCCCCATCACGCAGCTGCTCAGGTGTGCCGAATGGCTCCAGGGTGTAGCTTCCTATGCACTCCTACAGGTATTCCTAGCTGCTTTGATTGCAGCCATCCTCACAATGAACAGTGAGGGTGGAATCCAGGACCTCTCAACTGTTGGTAGATACTCTACCTCTGGGCACAGCCCAATGGATTTTTCTTTTTTCTTGTTGTTTTACAATTTGTTTTGTGTGTGTCTGTCTGCATACGTGTGTGTGTGTGTGTGTGTACAACATGCATGGCTGGTTTGCACAAGTCCAGAAGAGGGTGTCAGATTCCCCAGTCTTGGAGTTAATGGAAGGTTTTGAGGCTCCGCATGCATGCTGGGAAAGCAGTGAGTACTCTTAACTGCTAAGTTGTCTCTCCAGCCTGAGTTTTCAGGTTCCAATTTGGAAACAGGATCTCACTGAGTTGCCTAGGCTGTTCTAGGATTCACTGGTAGCCTAGACAGACTTTGAATGTGTCATCCTCTTGCCTCAGCCTCCAGAGCAGTTGGGATCACAGGCCTACAACTGCCAGGCTGGGCTCCTCTTCCTCCTCTTCCTCCTCTTCCTCTTCTTCCTCTTCTCCCTCCTCTTCCTCTCTTTTTTTTTCAAACCTCATCACCTCTACAGATTGTCCTGTGACTGAGGCTGTGCTATCAACTCTGTTTCTCTGGGTGAAGAAACAGAGCCTGAAAAAGTCCCATGGACGCCACAGAGCAGTAAAGCAGCAGAGGAAGGATGTACACTTGGCATTCATTGGTCACCCAGGCATCCTGTCCAGTGCTCTGTCTCCCCTAGACCCAGGCTTCCCAGTCAGGGAAGAGCATACTGGCTGTCTACTCTGGAAACACGGTAGAGTGAGCATTAGTATTACGGGCTAGCCTCCTATTAGCTATTGAGTTGTTGCAGTTCTAAATCCCTGCATCTGAAACTGAGAGCTTATTTGGAGAAGGTCTTTGCAGATGTCATTGGGATGGGGGCATACTGCATGGTGGGATGGGCCCCTTCACCCAAAACTTCTGGTATCCCTATGAAAAGACATATACACAAAAATGTGTATGATGACAAAGGCAGCGGTAGGAGAGATGTGTCTACAAGCTGGGGGGATAAAAAGAACTGGTAGTCACTACCAGATGTGAGGAAAAGTGAGAAAGGATGCTACCAGAGTCCCAGAGGAAACATCTGCTGGCATCACTACCAGATTCGCCACCTCCAGACAGTAACAGGTGAGTGCAGAAACACACTGCTGTTGCTTTAAGGGACCTGGCTTGTTTTGGTTTGTGTTCCTAGCTTGGGATACCCAGCACCTCTTGTATGTTCAGTGTAGGAACACAACAGGTTCTTGTATGGAAAGCTTTGGAGCAGCAGGTAGGTATCAGGTATGGGGGTCACCCTGAGGATATACTTTTCTACTCTGTGTCCTGACCTTGTCGCTAATGGCCATTGGATCATTCTTAGGACTTAGAACCCATTTCCCCAGAAGGATGTCTGCTTCCCTTTTCTCATTCCCATTGGGTGGGTGGGTGGCCATCTTGTATCAATATCCATTTGCTCTGTCTCCCTAGTAGAATGGGGCCATCTGGGGCAAGGGCTGGGTCTGATACCTGAAAGGTATCACAACATGACTCCTTCTGCCTTCTTCTTGGGGCCTGTCTTTTGACTCCTGTCTTGGAGTTCATGAAGGGTGGTAATGGGGATAGCTCATGGACCCCAGAATGCATCATTTCTTTACATCAGTTAGTGAAGGAAAGAAGAATCCTGTCTGCCTCTTCCCTAGGCCATCCACAATGGTGGCTATCTCTCCTCTGCGTTTGACACAATCACTCATTTATCACAAGGTAGCTTGGGAGGCCAGTGGCCCCAGTGTAAAGATTTCAAAAATCATGAGGCTCAGCAAGTCTGCCAGGTTATGAATTAGCAACGAAACCCGTGTCCACAGCTGGCCTGGGATAGCCTGCACACCAACTGATCTGTCCCCGGCAGTCCTCAAAATTGTCTAGCACACTGGGAGATGGAGGAGCACTAAGCAAAGAAAGAGGTGGGAGCTCTGAGGGGTCAAATAATGTGTCTGAGGAGAGGCATGGAAGGGGCCAGAATTTGAACCTAGGCTTCATCCTTTGCAGATGAAGAGCCCAGTCTCCTCCTCCCTGGCTGAGCCTTGCCAGGTTCCTTGAAAGCAGTTACCTTCATAGGAAGCCTTGAATCCCAGGGAGCTGCCACTGCTGTCACTCTGGAAGAGGAGCCACATCTGATGGTGAGTGCTGACGATGAGGTCTGGGACGGACGTACCTGTCAGGCTGTTGGGAGAGAGATTCTTAGAGGTCTGCCCCATGCCAGTGGCCAAGGAAAACAAAGGATTCAGGCCCACTATGGGACTATCATGCTCTAAGTCTGGAGCTAGGCCACATGCCCAAGGCAGAGACATTTCTTAGCTCCTTGTTGGGTTGCTGTGTTAGGTATAGGGTCACTGAATGATCCTCCAAAGCAAAGGCCCAGCCTACTGAAGTACAGGACAGCCTGGTATCATGGCTCCCTTAATGAAACTTCCTTGGCCCAGGAAAGGTGTTTATTGTCTATGAAGATTCCCTGTCTCAGATAGTTCTGAGCACATGGAAAGGTCCCCCAAACACTTCCATTGTGTCAAGGAGAAGTTAGACTGCTAGGGAGAGAAGTCACCTAGAGTATACACCATGAGGTAGCAGTTGTAGGGTGTTTCAAAGAAGTACTTGGCTAGTAGGGAGAGCCAGGCACACAGGCGTGGAACCTTTATTTGACTTTGCCCAAGACAGCTCAGCCTGAACACTTGATGTAACTTCCCTATGAAGCCTGTTCCCCTTGGCTGGGGTAGAGAGAGGTAGATGGATTACTGCATTCACCAAGAACGCCACAGGACACTGTACCTATAGCACCGGGTCTGGGGACCAGTGCAGACTCTATGAGCCAGTCTCTATCCCCCACTTCCCATCTTGACATGGCATTTCACTTACATGTAGAGGACCGTCTTCTGGTCCCCATCCTGCCCACCGTCCCCGACTGTCAGGGTGTCATAGCCCCTCTCCAGATCAAACTCTTCAAAGGCCAGCTTGATCACCTAGAGGAGGGAGCACAGTGTTAGGGACCTGGCAGTAGGTGTGATGAAGTCCGTGAAAGCCTCACTGTGTCCTAATACACCCCAAGTTTCTGGGGAGTCCCCTCCTGCACACACTGCCCATTTCTGTGCCATCCTGAGGAACACAGATACTCCTCCATAGGTTGTATGGTCCCTGGGGGCTCCATGATATCTCTGAAGGTGTTTGTGGCACATCTGGCCAGTTCTGGCAGCTGTCAAAGAGCTACCAGGCACAGCTGGCAGGCCACAAGATGATTGGACTCGTTCTTCATGCTTTCATGAACAGAAATCCCCTCAGGATCAGTGGCAGTGTTAGGCTGCATGTGGAATCTCAGCAATCCTGCCCCCAGGGGGCTGGAAAAGACATCCTAGCCCTTTCCTCTCTTTTTTACCAACTGTTTCCCACCTCTTCTGTTGGTTTAATTGCTGACTAAATGAATGCCCTTGGACGGAGATTTCAATAAGATCTATCTATCTATCTATCTATCTATCTATCTATCTATCTATCTATCTATCTATCTATCATCTATTAGCTTGCCTTAGTCCCATCTTCCACAAGTATTTACTAAGCAGCTGCCATATACTAGGCCAGAGTGGGTTCTTCCCTAACACAACACCATCCCAGCCGTACATGGATGTCATTAGCATATCATACTTTCTGCCTTACTTAAGGTAGGGGTTCCAAGAAGTACACTAATACTGCAGGGACAGGTACAATAGTGGGGGGTCATGGAGTAAGAGGAGCCTGTGGTGGACAGCCGAGGGGTACTCCTCATGACTGAGCCCTCTGAGGGAATTCTGAAGGCTGTGGAGGGCTTCCATCACACCTTAAGGGTGACTGCAAGGGACAGGGGAGCTACAGTAGAAAGGGAACATTCTAGAACAAACTGTAGACAACAGATCCACAGACAGCAGGCGTGCCAGCTGCCTCACTCTGAGGGCTGTCTGGTTGGACCTAGAGAGCAGAGGTGACTCCAGAAGGTTTAGAAGCATGGAGTTTGCCTGGAGATTAATTCAAAGCTCCCACCCGCCATATGGGCTTTCTCCTGAGGGAGGTGACTTCAGCTCGGCTGCTGGCTTGGAACTGACTGGCAGCTGTGAGCTGGGTAGTGGGGAGGGTTGAGGCTTTGGTAGAGGGACAGTGAAGGAGATAGAAGAGAGTCGGGCCCTGGTAACATTTGAGAATGTGTGACTGGGCGGATGTGGGGACTGGGATGGGTGGAAAGTAAGGGAAATCCTGGATGTCGGACAGGTTTGGGGCTTAGGCAGCTGGGCAGTGGGTGGGGCCAACAGCGGATATTCAGAACCAATGGACTCTTTTACCTCTTTCATTCTCCTGCTGATCTTCCCGGGAAACAAAGCTGCTTTTTTGCTGTTGACACTACAAGCCAAGGAGGGCAGACTCCCTCGGTTAGTTTTCCCTGATTATAACGGGTGACTTTGTCATGTTTCTCTGTTCAAAGCAGCCAGCCCAGCCCAGCCCAGAGGTCTATAGGCCAATCCAGACTTACTCCTATTACCTCATTTATCACAGAGGCAAACTCATGCTGCTCACACTGGGGAACCTGGTACCCTCCTCACAGACCCCTCAGCTTGGGCATGGGGTTCCCAGAGGAGAGCAACTCTGAGGAGAACATTCTGGAGTACCAGTCAGATACCACATAGACAAGGGAGGGAGCCATCATACTGGTTGGGGGAAAGCCCAGGGGCTTCCAGGGGGAAATGAAGGCCCGGCTAGCATTTGGAGAAGAAACATTCTCGAGTTTAGCTATTGGATGTGAGAGATAAAATAGCGATCAGAGTGGAGAGAGAACAGCAGTGTGGAAACAGTGTGACTTCTCCAGATGTGTCTGTGTATATATGCATGGTGTGTGTGTGTGTCTGTTTGTGTATCTGCCTGTCTGTCTCTGTGTACATGTGTCTGTGCATTTGTGTCTGTGTGTATGCACATGGCATGTGTGTGTCTGTGTGTGCACATATGTCTTGTGTGTCTGTATGTATGTGCATGATGTATGTGTGTGTCTCTGTGTGTGTACATGTGTGTGTCCTTATGTACATGTGCGGTGTGTGTATGTCTGTGCACGTGTATGTCTGTGTGTATGCAGGTGTGTGTGTATATCTGTGTATGTCTGTGTGTGTACATGTATGTCTGTGTGTATACATGTGTGTATGTGTGAATGACTGTGCACATGTAGGTCTGTGTGTGTCTGTGTGTGTATGCAGGTGCGTGTGCATATTTGTGTGTGTTTGTATGTGTGTGTGTGCCTTTGTGTCTGTGTGTGTGTGTGTGTGTGTGTTGAGGACAGAGGACAACCTTGGATGTTCCTCTGGTAACATCAACACCCTCTACCACCTTTGTTTAAAGACAAGGTCTCTCATTGGCCTGGGAAGTCACCAATGAGGCTAGCCTGGCTGTCCAGCAAGCTCCAGGGAATTTTAGGATTACAAGGGTGCACTAGATCTATAAGCTTTTTTTTTTTAAAGATGGTTCCTGGAGATTAATTCTTGTTCTCTTTACTGACCAGGCTATCTCACCAGCCCCTGTCCAGAGATGTCTAGTAAATCTAGTAATTTAAATATATAGGAAATAGAGGTGGTGACTCAGTAGGAGGAGTGACGCTAAGAAAGGCTGTCTGTCACGCTGAAGATTCGAGTTTGTGTCCTAAACACAACAGCGAACCAGTGAGCATGTTGCAAGCCAGGGCTCGATATGAGGTACCTGCTGCAGCTGCCACGCAAGAGACACGTCCCTCACTTCATCAAGAACCTGCTGAGGGAGGAGGTGCCAGGGAGATGGGATGGATGCCATGGTCCACAGTGGGTAGGAATTCCTTCCTGGCTTCTGTCCAGAATGTTCTCTGTTGGCTGAATGGCAGCATCAAATGTCCCCCTCCCCCATTCAGGCTCGACTTTCCTCCACGTGTCTCATCCTCCGCAGTCCTGCTACGCCAAGTGATTCAGGGAGTGTGGCATCCTAGACTACACATTGAGAACCCCTCCATATCTGTTCCCTCACGGGGCTAATATGGCCCCCAGTGACCACTGGGATGTAAACCATTCTTCACACGCTCGTGTTTGAACACTTGGTCACCAGCAGGTGGCACTGTTTTGAGAGGGCATGGAACTTGACTGGAGGAAGTAGGTTGCTGGGGGTGGGACTTGAAGTGCACAGCCTGGCCTTGCTTCCTTTTCCACAACTCTGGTTCTTTGAGGTCTGCGGGCCAGCCACACATTCCAGCTGCTCCCAGCTCCAACACACTTTCTTACAATGCTGTACTGTCCCATCTCAAGCTGTGAGCTGAGAGAGAGAATCACTGCTCTTACTACTCTGGTAAGAGACCTGAGTGAAGACTGAAGGAGTTGAAAGGGTTTGCGACCCCATGAGGAGAGCAACAATACTAACCAACCAGAGCCCCCAGGGTCTAAACCACCAGCCTGGGATCACTTAGGGAGGGACCCGTGGCTCCAGCTGTATATGTAAGGGAGGATGGCCCTGTCAGGCATAGGTGGGAGAAGAGATCCTTGGTCCCATGAAGGCTGGAGGCCGTGTGTGGGGGAATTTGAGGATGGGGAAATGGGAGTGGGGGGATAAGTGGGGGCATATCCTCATAGAAGCAGGAGGAGGAGGGATGGGATAGGGGGTTCCTGGGCTGGAGGGGGGTAAGGGGATAACATCTGAAATGTAAGTAAAATATCCAATAGAAAAAGAAAAAAGAAAAAAGGCAGAGAGAGAGAGAGAGAGAGAGAGAGAGAGAGAGACTTGGTCAGAGTGATGAAAGAATTGGGGGCTGGTCACCATCAGGATGTGCCCACTTTTGCCCCTCTCCTCACTGCTCCCCTGGCAACTGTCTCTGCCCCAGGGCTCACTACCACTGTACTCAGGGTTCCTATCAATACTCCAGCCATTTGCAGAAGCAGAGAAAGCATCCGATAGCATGGTGCTTTTCCAACCTCTTCTTTCGGATTCCAAGCTTGGGCAAAACTATCAGACTGTGGCACCTCTCACGGTACTAGAACAGAGGTTGGCTGGCCTTTTTGGTAAAGGATCACATCAGAAATACCTTTGCAGACCACATACTTTCTGCCATGCTGCCCTGCTCTGTGTAGCATGAACATGGCCACACACAGCAGGTGCTTCCGTGGGCATGGCTGTGTCCCAGTCAGATTTTATAAAGCTTGGTGGCCCTGAGGTTCTAGTCTGCTGAGCCCTGGCCTTGGAGATTCCCCGAGATGCCTAAGCAAGGTTTTTAATCATCTTACAAGATTTCTTCACTACAATAGCTAATGCCTACAATGAGGTTAATTGTATTCTAAGCATATTATAAAAATCTGCTCATTTGAAAATCAAGATATCTTTTATTTTACAGAGAGGAAGGATTGGGCAGAGAGAGATGATGTAGCTTGCCTAGTTCACATAGTCTGATGGCAGAGTGCTACTGTCAGACGGGTTTCTTACCCCTGTGCTCTAGTGCCTAGGAGCACCTTAGCATGGTCTCAGGTGCCCAACACAGGGACAGTATCCTACCCTCTCAAGCTGCTCCAGGCTCCCAGCTGGATTCCAGCAGGTGTTTGGCAAATGCTTGCCACACAGAAAACATGCCCAGCCAGATGATGTCCCCTGCAGGAGGATCAGCCACCTTCTGTAGTGACTATAGCTCTGGCTAACTGTGGTCATTGTACCAGCTCCTTCCAGCCAGACCTGGGGCAAGGGACACCACTTACCAAGCCATCTCCACAGAGGGAGTGTCTGATCACCAGGCCCATAATGGGAAAATACTGCTTTGAAGGGCAGAACCTCGAGTCATAGAATGATTCCCATCACTGGTTCGTGAGGCCATTGAACATGAACCACACCATGGAATCGTGACCAGGAAGCAGGGGCTAATTACATCAAGAGGCAGGTTCAGCACACAGTGGCTTGCCTTTCAGTAGGACCCAGCACACCAATTCTCCAGGCTTTCCTTTGTTATTTTCTCTTCTGC